ATATATATATATATATAAATATATATATACAGGGTGTCCCAAAATTCATGAAGAGCAGAAAACGGGTGAACGAGAGACACCTTGTATACTATTTTGCGTCTTTGGGTTTCTGTTTTTTATTTAATTTTTTCGTAATTCACTTTATAGCGCTTCCTGAAAAATTAGTTATAGCTAAATGTCTAACTAAAAAACTAATAAAATATCAGTAATAAAAATGTTTTCTGAAAATTTTGGATTTTTAAAGTTTCATTTTTGAGATAGGTATTTTAGATTAAAAATACCCGATTTTAGACAAATCGCAATATTTAAAGACCCTTAAAACTTAAAACTTTCAAAATATATCCAGAAAAAAATAGGTGGGTCTTTGTTTAATTTTCTCATCAGTTTTAGGCACCGACTGCCTGACACTGATGAAACCCAACAGGACAGCAATAGTCATTGGACCATACCATTCGGGAGACGCGCTTTGAGCCCGGCTCGGTGGCGAGATGAAAGGCATTTCAGTCTTTGCAATATATATTAATACATATATACATATATCATGGGTCGACCAAAGATTTTGCCCTTTACGTTCGTGTGACCATTTTAACCGTGAACAATTATGCTGGACCATACTGTAGACTTTGCTCGCCTGAGGCATACAACTTTAAGATCAAATTCCTATTTTTTCGGAGTTGCTTTAACGCCAAGCATTTTAAAGAATGGAATTAAAAAAAAAACTATTACAAGTAAGTATACCTTACTTTCAACAACTTGCAACTTTAAAAATGTCGCTCAAGCATTGTATTTGGAATTGTGCAAAATATTGTCAAAAACACTTTTCATCACCGGGCTTTATAGCGTTGTGGCTGCCCGACACTGATGAGATCCAAAAGACCGAAACAGGCGGTCTGTCGATGCCTGTTGGTGGAGAAAACTTAAAACAAAAGCACGTTGGCGGGGTAAAACGCCAGTTATTGAATATATTTTAGTCAAATTTTAACTCATAATAGGTCGCACATTTTAAGCCATCAACCTTCATAAACTGACATTAATGTATACGAGCATTATATACATTTACACAAGAAACAAATTTTATAACGATCAAAATTCACGTAAAACTGATAATTGGTTTACAAGGTACCCAGATAACAATTATGACATCATTTAAGACATCAACGAGAAATCATTGCTGATTCATTCAGTGATGTAATTAAGGCACGCATATCGTGGGTTGAGTATTATATTGTTCTATAAATCCAAAATTAAATTGTTGGGGAATGGCGATTAAATATTCCAGGCTCATTCTAATACTGTTTGTAAAGATTTTTATAATTTTAAGTACTGGTTTTGGACTCATATCCTTAAGAATTAAAAAATGTATTGTCCCTATTTAAACTTATTTCTTCCAATACTGGGTTTTATAAAATAAACAATTTTTGATAGAACATTTTTTTTTCTTGAAAACGAAAATTTTACACAAAACATCAGATTTTGTTCTAACAGCATACAAAATTCTTTAAAACTAAAAGTTTTTAGTTCTAAAGAATTCCAAAACTTTAGGGTTCTAAGAAGTATCCCTTAAATAAGAACATACCTACGTATTCTTTTTTTTTAAATTGCACCGCACAACCACATCTTTATTACTTGCATACAAAACTAAAACAGCAAAAATTATATTGTTCTAGCAGATCAAAATTCTCTTCTCTCATTGGTTGGTCTGTTAGGATATTATAATTTTAAACCGTTTTTAAATAAGTGCGATAGAACAATTTAATAATGCTTTTTTTTTTAGTTTGTGTATTAAATTAAACAGGCATTTTTATCCATAGAACCGAAATTTTATGTACTATTTTTCTATCAAAAAAGCCGATTTCGCACTAAAAGTGCTGTTTGAACATTATAATACTCAACCCACGATATGTGTTCCCCTTTTGATGAGAAATATGATATCCTTAATGAGTCACACGATGAATTCGTTGTGACACCAACGTGAAATCATTGCTGATTCATTCAGTCATGTCACTGTGGCATGCATAAGTGTTGCACTTTTGATGAGCAACGTGAAATCCTTAATGAGTCACACAATGAATTCATTATGAAATCAAAGGGATGTCATTAATGATTTTACTTAATTGTAGATTTTGCAAAATTAAAAAATGTTAAATATTTTTTTTTTTAAGTCTAATATGAAGAGCTTGTAAGGAGAAACCAAAAAGCCAATTAAAGTTTTTTCATGTGAGTTGTTGTTACTAAGATATTTGTTATTAAAAATAAAATCAATTCAGGTCTTAACTCGAGTGGTCCTATTATTTTGTAGAAATTTACTGCTATCTCATTTTGTGATTATGACTCAATGTTGTTGCTTTTAAGTGACATGTCTACAATGTCTACAATTATTTGTTAAAATTTGAAAACTAATATCTTTAATTTTCAATATCAAATATCTTAGTATCAAAAACTCATATGAAAAAACTTCATTTGACTTTTTGATTTCCCTTTACCATCTCTTTATTTTAGCGCTTAAAAAATATTTAAAATTTTTAAAATCAGTATTTTTGCTCACCATGTACAATAAAATGGATGTTTCTAAACCCAAATTGAATTTATACAAGGTGTCCCTAAACTTAGTGGCATAAATTTAGGAGCAGATTAAGCAAGTCAATATAAGACGAAAATCTAAATAAAAATGTTTCCTAATTACGTATGTTTAAAAGATACAGGGTGATGAAGTGTTACTTATCATATCAGTTTTTTTAATATACAGTGAGGACGCGTGGGTTGGAACAAATTCATTTAAAATTCAGGGATTTGTTTTTTGAAAAAACGCTCAGACACGTCGATTTTTATTTTTAGATGCGGTTTTTTAATAGTAAACTCACTTATACAGGATTACCCAAAAATAAGTTACGACCATCACCTTCATTTTTTTAAATGGAAACCCCTATTTTTTATTTTATTTTTGAATTTTGCATCAAATTCTAAGTATGTTTTATGTACCATGTCCTATACCTAAACTCAACAGTTATCGAGAATTACGAGTGAACATAATAAAATACCGGTTTTCTGAGGATTTTTTTGTATCGAGCAAAACATTTAATTTTAAGTTTATTTTAATTGGTTTTTTAATTCTGGTACTTTTTATTGTCGACTGTATGATAATTTTACTTCAAATAAGTAATTTTCAGTTGCAGTTAAAAGGTTTGAAATAATGGCGCGTTTAACTGAGAAGCAGAGAATAGAAATTTTGATGATGGTAGGATATGGCGACAGGACTCAAACACAAGGTAAAGTTTTCGAAATGTTTAATAACAAGTAACCGGAAAGGCCCATTACACGATCGGTAGTTAGTAAGATAAAAAAAAAAGTTTAGAAGATACAATTATAAAACCAACCATCTTCCAGTTCCAGAAAACAAACAATTGGATTTTTTATCTTACTAACTACCGATCGTGTAATGGGCCTTTCCAGTTCCTTGTTATAAAACATTTCGCAAACTTGACCTTGTGTTTGAGTCCTGTCGCCATATCCTACCATCATCAAAATTTCTATTCTCTGCTTCTCAGTTAAACGCGCCATTATTTCAAACCTTTTAACTGCAACTGAAAATTACTTATTTGAAGTAAATTTATCATACAGTCGACAATAAAAAGTACCAGAATTAAAAAACCAATTAAAATAAACTTAAAATTAAATGTTTTGCTCGATACAAAAAAATCCTCAAAAAACCGGTATTTTATTATGTTCACTCGTAATTCTCGATAACTGTTGAGTTTAGGTATAGGACATGGTACATAAAACATACTTAGAATTTGATGCAAAATTCAAAAATAAAATAAAAAATAGGGGTTTTCATTTAAAAAAATGAAGGTGATGGTCGTAACTTATTTTTGGGTAATCCTGTATAAGTGAGTTTACTATTAAAAAAACCGCATCTAAAAATAAAAATCGACGTGTCTGAGCGTTTTTTCAAAAAACAAATCCCTGAATTTTAAATGAATTTGTTCCAACCCACGCGTCCTCACTGTATATATAACTTCTACTATGGTAGACTTGGAAAGGTGATATTTTGCGAACAGTCACTTACTACTAAAACACATATTCACACATAATTACAATTGTTCAAGTGAACACAGTGTCGCAGAAACAGGGGTTGATAAGCTTATTTTCCCATACAAACTTTAAGGTTAGGTTTTTATACCATTTGATGCAATTTTTCTATTACTCAGTTCGGCTACTATTAAAAAAGTGTACCTCTCAAACTTCGATAAAATAAACCGTTTCCGAGATATTCGAGATTAAAATAATTGTTATATCGCATTAAAGGACTAAAAAATATATGATAACAAATTTTTTAATTGAAAAAACTACAATTTTTTTAATGTGACGTTCAGGGCAAAAAGTCCCGAGGCTCATGGAATGCCCTTTTTAGTTTTTCAATTAAAAAATAAAATTTGTTATCATATACTTTTTAATCCTTTTAAATAATGCAATATAACAATTATTGTAATCTCGAATATCTCGGAAACGGATTATTTTATCGAAGTTTAAAAGGTACACCTTTTTAATGGAAGCCGAACTGTGTAATCTAAAAATTGCATCAAATGTTATAAAAACCTAACCTCAATCATAATTATGTGTGAATATGTGTTTAATTAATTTCACAAATGATCTCATCAAGAACTCAGGATGAGCTCAGCAATGATTCAGCTAATGAGCTCCAGGTGAGGTCCAGGTGATTTCACAGAAATGCATTTGATGTCTTAGTGAGCTCACTGTGAGCTCACGCGATGATTATCACTGAGTGATTTTTTAATGAGTCATAAATGTTATCTGGGTAATTGAGAAAAACTGATTTAGGCGTTCGAAATGCGTTGGCCCACTCGATATATTATAATAAACAAAATAAATATAAAATATACATATTACTGGGTAACATAGGGCTACTACAAAGGATTATAAAACAAATTAAGAAAAAATTAAATTTAACCTTAAATATTCATGTAGTTACTTATACTTACTTTTCCTTTATCAAAATTATTTATAATTTGTCTATATAACTGTTCCTTTACTTGATATTCCTTATAATTTGGAAAATGTGGGTCCAATACATAATTAGATGAATTCCATTGCAGTTGATCTGCATATAATTTCATTGTAAATGCTGCTTCAGTATAATTTTCAGCAGAACAATGTAAATTATGTAATTTATAAATGTACCTTAAATACATTTCCTTTCTATTAAACTCATTTTTGTAAAAGTTCTAAAATAAAAATTCATATGCATATAAATAAAATAATATTACAATTTTGAAATTACCAAAAGATTGAATGTACAAGACATTCTTTTATCGCGATTATCGTCTCCTTGAATTACACTTCTGTAATCAAGAAGTCTTTCCAATAATCGTGTCACTGAACTTATAAACGCTGCTCCACTTTCTTTCCATGATGGTTCTTCCACTTGTACTCGATCTAGTAGCCTAGTTTTTAAACACATTATATTTTAACACAATTTTATGTTATTTTTTATTATTATATTATTAACTAGTTATTATTTTTTATAGCATTTTTCTATATTATTTAAAGGATTTTGGGATAAAATATTTAAAATTAGATACAATTAGTCAAGTTTAAGTAAGCAAAGGGTTTTTGTCAAAAAAAATCGATAGAAACTTAAAATATTTTACAAATTCCAACGAAAATTTTATTTTTAAACTTTTTTGGTAGTCAAACTTCTTTAGCGAGAAAAATTGTCACGTTTAATATGAAACTCTTTTAAACAAACTCCCAAGAGCATGAAGTCGCAGAGGTTAAGTCGGAATAAATGTTGAAAATAAGTATTAAACGGTTTTAATAGTACAAGAACTAGCAACGTCGCAGAAAAAAAGTTTATGTCGACTTGTCTTTTGATATTCCCTTTCTTATTAATATTTATTTTCCTATTATCCCCTACGGTCTTGTGATTATGATGCCTGGCTCTAGGGCAGATCCTTTTAAACGCCCGTAAAAATACAAGCGGACATTACAGTAAACCTAGCGCGGCAGTTAACTATTAATTAATACAAGTATTTTCTAACTCCGAAATATATATATAAAGGGTGTCTCGATAGGAACGCCGTATTTAAATTTTGCCATGTTCCTATTTTTTGCAAAGTGCAACCTTAAAATGTGATTTTTGTAGTGTACAAAACATTCCGATTTTATAAGTTAAGTTAACGAGCGGTATTCTCTAAAACAACGTGTTACTATTCTTAAGACATTATAAATATAAAGAATGCTATGCAGAAACCAATCGATAATTACGTCAAATTTACGGCCGTGCTAATGCTCAAAATGAGACGACAGTGCGAAGGTTAGTGATTAAATTTGAAGAAAGTGGTTCGGTTGGTGACATTAAAATACCTGTGCGTCGTAGGTACTAGCCGATCTGCTGAAAATATTGCAGTAGTACGGAAAAGTGTTACCGAAAATCATCATCGTTCGTTCCTCGATTCGTCATCGTTCCCAACAAGTTGCTATTTCGAGAAGCAAAATTCAATCAACACAGGAGCTAATGCCAGTAGTTCATTCGCCGGGAATTTGTTTATTGGATTCTGGCAAGGAACAAGATGTTGAACTTGTAAAGACAATTTTGTTTAGCGATGAAGCGCACAAACCAGCAACAATTCATTAATTTAAAGACGATATTCGACGCGTTATTAGCAAAATTCAGCAGCATATATGCGAGAATGTTAAAAAAATCATTAAAAAGAGGGAGGGTGTGGCAGCAAAGTCGACAGTAAACAAAACCAATACCAATTTAACAACCAGTTTTTAATAAAATTAAATTATTGCTATTGCTATATTTTCCATTTTAAATTTTAGTAAAATGTACAAGAAAATTATCAAAATATTACCCTTTTTTATGGAAATAAACCCAAATAAACCCCAAAGCGAAGATTACGCCATTATTATAGTGCAATATAAAAGTGAAGTTGGTGTCGCCATTTTTCTGTTTTTTTTTTCATGTTTTGCACTATTTGTGCCAATTTAATTATTTAAATACCTTCTTAAATGAAGCAGATTATTAGGGTATATATAATTTAGCATTTTATGGTTGAGTTATCGGAGGCAAAATGGCGGTAGATGGTATGTGTGTAGTTGTAGTTTCCTTCGTTATTTTTAATAGGCGCAGAACGCACCAGTGTTGCCAACCATGTGAAAACAAATTATGGTACACAACCCTCAAAATTATGGTACAATTCATAAAATTATGGTACACCTTCTAAAATATAAATAAGAGGCAGTTTTTTTAAATGGATAGAGGAAAAAAATATAAAAAAACAACACCACATTTTCATTTCTAATTTAATAAACAAAATAAAATATTTAAAACTTAAATGTTTTTAACAAATAAGTCAGAGGTATCCATGGTTAATTTAATACTTTACTTGATTACATATGCATAGATAAATAACTTGTGATTCGATGACAGATCTGTGTCATCGAATCTGACCACTGACATATATTCTTTTTCTGTGCCTGATATCTGACAGTCAGGTTTCAGTGGTCAGCAGGGTTGCCAGGTATGTAAAATGAGATTTAGCCCATAGAAAAAGAATATATTTAGCCAGTTTGAGCAGACAAAATAGCCAACTGTTCAAAACAAAAATGGTATAAAAAATTAAAAACACAAAAATTACACATTTATTTTTAAAATCACAAGAATTAACTGAAAAAATCGTTTTGCCGTTGAATGAGGATTAACGCAAAGTTGCAAATTTGCAACTTTGCGTAATTGTACCATAATTTAAATTATGGTACAATTATTGATTATGGTACGCCTAAAAAAATTATGGAAAAGATAGTGAAATTATGGTACAATTCCATAATTATGGTACGGTTGGCAACGCTGGAACGCACAGACCAACGTTGGCACAGACTTTGTTGTGTGGATTGTGGAACAGACCTTTTGTGGATTGTGTGTAGTATAAGCTTTATGTCTAAATAAAAATAAAAATTATTTCCAAATTTTTAAGGTATTTAATTAATATATTAAATTCGGCGTTTCTATTGTGACCCCTTTATAAGCGCGAAAAATCGGCTGTCCCTACCCAACGCGAACAGTAGAGTTACCGACAAACCAAAGGCTAGAAAGGTCGTCTAGAAAGGTCGTAAGATATAAACCACGTAAGCGAAAGGTTCCTAAAAATTATCTTCTTCATAAGCAGAAAAAAATTTCTAGTAAAATTACCTTAATACAATGGGGCAATATATTTTTATTTTTTTCTCTTTTAAAAATACCCCATTTTAGAATTTACCAAGTTGCCTTTTTTATCTAAATTAGTTGTTTACAGTCTAAAAACAATTTAAAAAAAATCCGATGTCGTTTAACCAACCCTGCCAAAATTATTTTAATGACATAATAAAAAATCATCTCGCTAATAAATTGACGTGCCACAATGTACAAGATATCATTTAAATGGATGGTTTTACGAAAAAAAAAAAACGTAAAATACCTTTTCTGTAGAGCGTTGTCCACTAAAATGAGTTGTGTATTTTAGAAATTTGCGAGTTATAAAAAAAGAGTTAATAGTTAGTTTATTAAAAAAGTATGAACATTTAGGCAGGGTTAAACAACTTCCATAAAATAGGGGCCAATGATTACAGGTTAGGGTCTTAGATTTTAAAAAAAATTATATTTTCGTTAGACTACACCTTAATCAGCGCAATCATTTAATTTTTTTCCTCCCCCCTCTACTGTGTTTTTTTGAGGGAAGTCAAATTTCGGAATTTACCGTTTTGCAGGCTTCCTTTTAAAAAATCATATTTCTTGACCTGATTAAGATAGAGACTTTAAATAAACAATTTTTTAACAAAACTATTTTTTTTTTAAGTTATATCTTTTTAGAAGCACATTGGGTATTAAATTAAAAATTATATTTTGTTTATTTGATCCTTTTTACTTACAACCCTAAGACAAAAATCGAAAAAATTACTATACTTATAGGTTAAAAAAATTACTATTTGCTTGCTGATTCAAAAAAATAACATTTTTGGCTGCAACAAAAAACACTTGTGTGTACGGATGAAGCTGCACAAATTGAAATTCTCGGTCATTTTGCTAAGGATCCACATCCATTCCAAAAGTAACCGCTTTAAGAAATACTTTTAGTGGGTCCGTTTAAAAGGTTCTAAAAATAAATATTTTCTCTTATAAAATTCAAATGTGCCAGCAACTCAGCGACTACGAGAGAAGAATCCAGTTTTGTGAAATTGACGCAAAGAATTGCGGTTTTTCCCAATTTATTAAAACATATTTGTTTCAGCGATGAATATACTTTTTTCTAAATAAAATTGCAAATAAACATAATGGGGTAGTTAAATTTTTTCTGACCTATACTTTTTATGGTTTTATTCAAGGCGTTTTGTAATTTTAAACATTTCTGTGAAATCGGAATTTCAATTGAGTTTACCGTTTTCGAGATATTTACAAAAAAAAATCTCCTAATTACGTCACTACGCTATTGACAACGTTGCCAGCTTTTTCTATGGTTGCCAGTGTGTTTAGTTTAAGATTCTTACGATAGATGGCACCACGTTATAATATTTTAGTTTTAAAACCACTTGATCTATAATTTTAGTGGAGAAGAAGAAGAAGGATTGATTTTTTGACGTTTCTTTTTTTCGGGTTATGTTTTTTTTTATTAGTATTATGCCTAGTTCTTTATATTCTTTTAGATATATCTTGGACTCTAAAATATCAAACAGTAATATGATAGCTTCTAATAAGGAAGATAGGTACTTAATGAATTTGGTGACCATCTTTCACTCAACTGACAGTGACAGTATTTATTCATAACCTCTTCGGGTATTTTCTGACATAACCGAATTAAATCATTAACAAGACAACTTGAAAACAGGGTAATTTTCAACCAATAGAAATCTTAGAATGTTGGTCACATGGCGAGGTTTGTGACGTCATAAAAATTTATATTTTTTGTAAATATCTCGAAAACGGTAAACTCAATTGAAATTCTGATTTCACAAAAATGTTTAAAATTACAAAACGCCTTGAATAAAACCATAAAAAGTATAGGTCAGAAAAAATTTAACTACCCCATTGTAGGTACCGTTTCAATAAAAATTCACATGTTCTTAGAGAGCATCATACTCAGTATCCTCAAAAAAACAATGTATGGGCTGGTATTCTTGGCAACGAAATAATTGGATCGGTTTTTATCGAAGAAAACTTAACTGGACAATTAAATATTGATCTTATTGAAAATGTTATAGACCCACTTATTACCACAGTCATTAGAAAATCACATGGACAAACAATGAAAAATTTTGCTTGATGAAGGACATTTGTACTTTCAACAAGATGAAGATCTTCCTCACTATGCTTTACCAGTCAGAGAAAGGTTGAACCAAAGGTTTTCCGAGTAATGTATTGGTGAAGAGGTGTCAAGAATGGCCGGCAAGATCTCCAGATTTAACGACACTCGATTTTTTTCTCTAGGGTCATTTAAAAACAAAAGTCTACAAAACACCACCTGAGAACATTCAAGAATTCAAATGAAGAATAATTCAAGAATGTAGGCAGATAGCTTATAAAACGGTTCACAAAGTTCGACAAGAGTTTAAGAACAGATTGTATTATTGTTTAGCAAATAACGTTGCACATTTTAAACATTAAAAATATTTTTTATGGAATTCTTTGATTTATTTATATCACACCTTTTTTGGCGCAAATCTTTGTTTGGATTTTAATTTTTTGAACTTCAATAGATAAGAAATTAAATTTCCTTTAAAATTATGTGTCGCTAGGTCCAATTTTAAAAATATTAGTAAGGGTAGCTGGAGATGAGAGGTTGCAACATAAAATTTGGACACTGGATTTGTACTTTCCCCTCTATAACTAAATCGACGTATTTTTTCTCAATATCATATTTACCATAACTCAAAAGTCATTAAGGGTAGCTAGTTTTGAATTGAAAGCCCTGTAATTAAAATGTCGTGTGGCAGGAGGTAAGTTAAATTTTAATTCTATAGTATTTTATAAAACTTTATATTTTTCTTTGCATCAAGTTGCAATTGAAATTTCAGTGTATTACAATAAAAAGTTGTCCCTAATTTAATTGATTTTAGTAATGATTACTAAAAATTTCTCTCCGAGTTTTCTGAACAATTTGGTTTCAAAACCACTTTTAAAAGTATGTTCTATTTTTTATTTGTATTATTTGATATAGTATTTATTAATTGATGTAAAAAATATTTATTCCAAGACTAAAATTGTTTAATTTGGTTTACCTACTTTTACGTTACTGTTATTTTATCACGAACTATAAACTTGGTAATTAATATTTTTTTTTAAATAAAAATATCATTTTACACTAAAATAATTTTTTACAAAATTCTTGTTTTTAAAAAAAATATCGTTTGTATTTTGTATTATTGATCCTTTGTACTTACAACCTTATAACAAAAATCAAAAAAATTACTTTACGTATATGTTAAAAATTGACATTTTGCTTGTTGATTCGAAAAATATTTTTGGCCATCTTTCAGATCAAATTTAGCAGATATGCTTTCATCGATATATACCAAATGGATCTACATTATTTCAGCATGCAATGTTCTATCATAATTAACTAAGTACAAGTAAACCAATGGAAAAAAATACCATAAATTTCTCATAAATACAAATTAGAATGTATAAATGTTTCCCTCTTCATTAACTCCTTTATTTATGTCTAAGTAAAAATCCATGATTAAATTACAAACTCATCAAGCTTCAAAGAGGTGGAATTTAAAGAAAAAGAGGGGGCAGAAAGTGTAAAATATTATTTTAATTGAAAAAAATTAACAATGACTAAGTTTATAGTTCGTGATCAAATAAAAACAGTAGGTAAACCAAATTAAACAAGTTTAGTCTTGAAATAAATATTTTTAACGTGAATTAATAAATATTACATAAAATAATACAAGTGGTTTTAAAAACCAAATTGTTTAGAAAACTTTGAAAGATCAAATAAATTGGGGACAGCTTGGGAATTATTAGAATAGGTGCTTGTGTATTTAATAATTTTAAAGTTTACAAACAAAATATTTTTAATGTCAATTGTACTTGTACTTTTGATTGGTAGAACAAATTGAAAATAATCCCCAACAAGTAAATTGTATTTTTTTAACCTATACATAAGGCAATTCTTTTTATTTTTCTTATAGGGTTGTAAGTACAATGAATTACTAATACAAAATATTTTTTTTAAAACTAGAAATTTTCTATAAAATAATTTTAGAAAAAAAAATCGGCCCTTGTGGTCAATAAAAAAATGCTTTAAATTATAAACTAAAGAAAGACTGCAAAACGGTAAATTCCGAAATTTGACTCCCCTCAAAAACACAGAGAGAAGGAGGGAGGGAAGAAAATACATTTCTGTTTAGGTGTAGTCTAACAAAAATTAAAACATTTTTAAAATCTAAGACCCTACCCTGTAATCATTTGCCCCTATTTTATGGATTGACCCCATCGGAAAAATATTTGTTTTATCCAATTGAATAATAAATAAATATGATAACGAGAATTACCGAAAGTGGTGAATGTCAAGAAAAACCAGTAATAAACCCAACCTAACTTGGTTGGTTAGTTGGTTGGTTTTTATTAAAAACGAACGAACGATGTACAAAGTTCATCAAAGACAACAAATTTTTGACTTTGTAAAAACAAAGTTTAATTTAAAACTAATGATATTTTACAAAATATTTTGGACATACACCGGTGAATGTTGACAATCACGTAATTTCGGTCATTCACTGTAACATACAAATTAAATGTTCAATGCAATATTTGTGGATTATTATAAGGCAACCCAGTACTTATTGTTAAATAAGTTTTTTGTGGATTTGTATGATTATGGTAAAAACTCTATGCTTTCTTTACAAATTTTAAATATTTATTAATTTAATAAGCATTAAACCCTTAAATTATTAATGCCAAGAATGTTGGTAAAAGAAAAGTATTTATAAATTATATACTTACACGCTACTTAAATGTTCCCTTTGCAAGTTAAACAAAAACAAACAATTATGTACGGCATTATATACAAGGTGTCCTAGAAGTCGCGCACCACCTTGAAGGTGTATGGTCTACAGACCCCCAGGAATCCCAGACAGTTGTTAAAAATAATCTACCTTCGTTATTAAAAAAAATACAGGAAATACGTGTTATCTTTAATTGGCAACATTGCCTACTAATAAAGTGGTAGTTTAATTCTTAATCATCCCCTTGTAAAAAAATTTCTCTGAAAAACTGAAAAAGTTTTAATAAGTTAAAATAAGAGTTTTGAAAGTCTTACTTTTTCTTAAAAACTTAGAATAAGACATATTAAGTCAGACTATTAGCAAGATTTGGGAGTCTTCTGGAAAAGTTATTCCGACTTAATAAGACTTTTAAGATGTTGTACGGGTTATTGTGAAAAAACACTAAGAAACGTATTTCTGTGTTGTTATAAGGCTTATAACAACACAGAAGCAATGTTTACACTATAAGTCAAGTTTATTGCAATTAATCAAAATACAACAGTTGAGACATACGTTTGGTTTGTGTACTTTACAGTGGGTTCGCTTTTTTCGAAATTAATTTGGTAATAGCAAAATTATTAATCTTTGAGCCAATAGTAGGTACTAAAAATATATATAAATATTATATTTTTAGAGATAATTGCATTTTCAGTTATAAAACAGGAAATTTTAATATAAAATCTAAATAATCTTAACTAGGTATGTACTTTGGCTCTGAGGTACAGATTTGTATAGGTACATGGAGTTTAGATTTCTTGTGTAGGCTCCATGTTATAAGACTTTTAACAATATAAAGAAGGTAATATTATTATTTTGAAGTTTAAAAACTTTTACTCATATCTTTTTAAAGAATGAAGGTAGAATTTTCTGGGATTCCAGGGGGTCTGCGCGGTGGTGCGAGACTTTTGGAACACCCTGCATAATACATATTATGTTCAATTATCTTATCAAAATTATATGGCAAAACCTTATATTTAAATAGGAAGTGTATTTGAATGGATATTTTTAAATTTTAAAAATTAGTATTGAAATCTTTTTATTGTATTTACAAAACACATTAAACTAAAAAATACTTTGATAAGGTGTTTCGTTTTTAAATTTTGCCATGGTATATTTATATATTAGTATTAATTAATAATTAATAATTATTAATACCTACCACATGCAGCAAACCCTTTTGGTAATTTTAAATTATCAGTTTTTTTGCATAGCATAAATAAGGATAAAAATTAATGTTAAATATAAAAAATTAAGTTATAAAAACTAATAAATTTAATATCAAGTCATTGTTATAAATGTCATGATATGCATGGGTCAATAAATCTCATAAACTCAGCTTAATTTACCCATTCGTTTCAAGGTGGTGGCTACAATGTGAACATGATAGTTTTGATAAATAAATAAATAAAAATCTTATTTATATCATAGTTTTAGCAACTTATTTCAATTTCTTCTTTAAATATGTGGTCTCAGCACGCCAGCTAATGGAAGATTGATATTTATTTGAAATAAGTTATTTTATTTATGGTTTAAAAAATGTCATACAAATGTTGCTGCTGGTGAGAACTTTAAACCTTACTAAAATATCGTTATTGTACTTTAAATAATTTATTTTTGTCCAAATATGAAGTTCCTTTTTTTAGAATTCACATCGAACATGTGGGTCTTCACCTTGTACCTTTCAAATAACTTGTTTTTTAACTACATCTTTGTTAGCTAAAAGCTGCAACTATAAAACTATATTAAAAACCTGAAATTTTAACTTATTTTATGTAAATAAACCATAAACAGAGCCGACAAAGAAAATAATCATGTCCTAATTTTAAATTATCATATGACCTTAAAAATGTTATTGGCCTACGTTATATGATAAAAAGTTTTTTAAGAGGTTTATAAATGTCTCACAAATAGAAGATCTCCGTTAATTATGCTGAGGAAAAAGGGTAAGTAAGCAACGTATATGGATCATTATTGATCATTTGCATTTGAAAATCGCTAGTTTTTTTTAGTTCGTGGCATGGAAATTAACCTTGTATAATAACTTACATAGTATTAAATAACCGCCGGTACTCATCATCGCCTTTATTTTCTGAAATTAAAATGTCCAACTTATCTATCAATTCACTTTCTACTTGTTTAAAATTTCCTCTTGCTTTTTGTTCACATTCCATCATATCAAAGAATATATGAAAAGTTGCCTTTCGAAGTTCAATTTCCGGGACAAGAGTTACTTCAAGAAATGGACCCACCATGGATGGAATAAAATTAATTTTACAGTCACCTTAAAATTATTAATTCATATTAACTATTTTATAAAAAATTATACAAAACTAGCATAAAAATATGATTTATTTAGACATTATAATAATTATATGTTGTTTTAATAAAATTTATTTTAATTAAAGGTAATAACGTATCTGATGGATTTTCGGAAAATGAAATTAAAAAATAAAATATGCAGTATAGAAAAAAATTCTACGGGTTATTCAAACTCCAACTTGAAGTAAATTAAATTTAATTTAATTTAAGAGGTTTAAACTAAAGGGTGTCCACTTAAGAGTGCTCTAACTTTAAAATGAAATAAAACAAACTACACTTAAGATATTAGGAAAAAAATATATTTATTTAAAAGAACATCCTATGGCATTAATTATGAAAAATAACATCTTTCAAATGCCCCCCGCGGCTGCGCTCCACAGCGCGCATTCTGCAGATCCAATTTTCTATCACTCTTTCGCACATTTCGGGTACGATTTCATTTATTATACGAGTTATGTTGGCCTTCAGTGCTTCAATTGTTCGTGGCTTATTCACGTATACAAGGGGCTTTACGTAGCCCCACAAAAAAAGTCCAGCGGCGTTAGATCGCATGATCTCGGTGGCCACTGGATATCGCCGCCGCGTAAAGCCCCTTGTGTACGTGAATAAGCCACGAACAATTGAAGCACTGAAGGCCAACATAACTCGTATAATAAATGAAATCGAACCCGAAATGTGCGAAAAAGTGATAGAAAATTGGTCCTGCAGAATGCGCGCTGTGGGGCGCAGCCGCGGGGGCATTTGAAAGATGTTATTTTTCATAATTAATGCCATAGGATGTTCTTTTAAATAAATATATTTTTTTCCTAATATCTTAAGTGTGGTTTGTTTTATTTCATTTTAAAGTTAGAGCACTCTTAAGTGGACACCCTTTAGTATTAATATCCCAATATTTTGAATAAATTTGTTTGTAACCGCAAGTAAAAAGTGGTTTTAGGTTTAGATGTTAATAACAAAAAAGTACTTACCCAATTGGGACCACATTGATAATATTTGAAATCCCATTAAAACTCTCATGTCTCCATATTTCTCAATAATTTTTTCTCTTTTTACATCAGAAAACTGTTCAAGTTGCAGTGAAGGTTGTGTTAAATAGTTAACAGCAAGATTAAAGTAATTAGTCCATAACTAAAATATTCAATTAGGCTAAATTATCTGGAAAAACAGTTTGTCATTGTGAAACCCCTGGATTTTATTCAGTTTTTTAAAGAACGTCTGTTTTTTTATTAATCGTTAGGGGCTTATATAAAAAGCCTAAAACCAAATTTGCACCACCTGACAATTATTTAAAAAAAAATAAACGTAAAAATGCATTTTTTCAGTTTTTTCCGATTATCTCGGCCCCCGTATATTACACAATAAAAAATGAAAATGCAAATTATTTGTTTTGAAATTCCCTATAATTTTTGTTGTATTTATTTTTTATTTAATTTAATAATTAAAAAAATATACAAAAAATAGTACAAAAAAATTGTTAGATACTTTTTCGCAAATATTTTGCAAACGGCGCATTTTACGGTAAATTAATACAATAGACATTTTGTGGCTCTTTCATTTATCTACAATTAAAAAATATTAGTCACGCTTCGTCCTGTCAAAACTTGCAGTCATAGTTGCCCTGATAAATAAGTTTTGACAGCGATTCGATTCATAGCACACGTATCTTATTTGCAAAAAATCTTTAGATTTCTGCGATACTATGGATGTTAAAGATTCCTACACTGCTTGCCAGCATTGAACGAAGACATAAAGACCACACGACGATAAAAGTTTATGACAACTGTCGAAAAAGCTATAGTAAAAACTTAAGCGAGGCAGTTCGTCGTCAAAGTGTTCAAGTTTCAACCTCTAAATTTCAAGATGTTTCGGAGCGTAATGTAAGTTTAATTTGAATTTTTTTATTTTATCTCTGTCGAAAAATATTAAGACGGAAATGACGAATTGTACGCGATAAAGAGTCCTTTAGTTAGGGACCAATTTTTGCAGTTTTAAACGAGAGACATATCAAAAGACTTCAATATCGCGATTTAAAACAACGAATTGAAAAAGTCACAGATTTAGTTGCAGTCAGGGCTAAATATCATCCGAGATGCAAATCGAATTTGATCCTGAAACGTACTGCCAATATGTCATAAATGATTTGAAAACAAAATACGGAGATAACGTTGTTGTTTTTGAGCGCAATGGAAATCCAACCATCGTGTGTTTCCGTAACGCTGAATACGAAGTTCTCCCGAAAACTTTTTAGGAGGGAAAAACGCTAGACCTAAAAATAGAGAGGAAGAGAATGGTTCTTGAAGCAGCGGCAATAATTTCTAAAGATTTATGTTGCAACGTCGATGAGTAGGTACCCTCCAAGCGACAATTTTCTTAAACACGCAGAAAACCTTGTCCCGGAAAATTTGCGCATTTTCCTATCGGAAATTATTATGAAATTTAGGCGTGGAAATATGTATAAATAGAAAAGAAAATGCGAAACAATTGCTCATGCAATAATGTCAGCAGCGAGACCCACATCTTTCTTTTCTTTCCTGCAACTAGGAATTGGGGCATTTCTTTATAAGGAGGTAGGTTTCAAAGATCTTATTTAAGTTCTATACAACTTGGGTTATTCGGTTTTATATAGTGAAATTCGAAGCACTGTGTATCACGCGTTCACAGCCAGAAATACTCCCTCATACTTTTGTCCAGTTTGTGTTTGATAACGCGGACTGGAACACGAATACTCTTGATTGTAAGGGAACGTTTTACGTTCTGGGGGGTATCCAAAGCATTACTCTTCAAGTTTATTCTAAAAGTAGAATTTCTTCAAACGACTCCCCTCGAGTTTAAGATGTAGCCAAAATGCGTTCGATATACGCAAGCGCGAAAATCAAATCGGATCTTGCTAATTTACCACCCACGGAATGCAACATTATTTTAGGATATTCCATCAGGTGCAGCACGGCGTTCTCTATACCAGGCGAGTGTAGCCCCCACTCCTGAATCGAAACTGTGACGTCAGGAGTAGGGCTGTCACAAGTATTCGGTTAACCGGTTAACCGGTTTTTATTTTCCGTGGAAACCGTGGTTACACTTTTAATAAAAACCGGTTTTTTCGACCGGTTAAAAACCGTTTTTTGACCGGTTAAAAACCGGTTTTTTCGACCGGTTGAAAACCGGTTTTTTCGACCGGTTAAAAACCGTCTTTTCGACTGGTGAAAATCAGTTTTCTTGACCGATCCAAGACCGGTCATAGTCTATAATTTTTAAAAGTTGGACTGTGTGGTGCGGCCTTTGACGGTAAGCACCGCAGCACACGCCGTTCGTGAGTGGCTGTTGCTTATATAATAAACGAGCCCAGAATCATATCATTTGGCCCAGTCACAGAAAAGTCAATATTTTATTTTTTACTTAATTTTGGCAAACACAAAAGAAAAATCTATTGAATTCAACTATTATTATTGTAATATTTGGATTCAATAGATTTTTCTTTTGTTTTTGTTGTCTAAAATTAAGTAAAAAATAAAATATTGACTTTTCTGTGACTGGGCCAAATGTGTATTTACTAAATACACATAAAATACGCATAAATACTATTTATTAAATACCATTTAGATAATTAAAATAAAAATTTATAAAATTCTTTTCAAAAACGGGGTTTTGCCGCCATCTGTTAATAACATTATGAATGACAGTTGTGAATGAAGCTAGATTGTTGAATAAAATGGTGTTTTTTTATCGATATTTGACTAATTTTGTTGTTTAGAGAGTAATCTTTTGTTTAAAAACATTTGCCTTTACATTAAAACTTACTTTAAGAAGTACTTATGAACCATCATTATAGCATTTGAAATATCTTTCTTCGGAAGAAATTCTTTTTCATAGTGGTCTTTATATGCTGCCAAAAGAATTTGATTTGTTGGTTTTTATTTACCGTGCAATTTTGCGGTTAAGTTTTAAAAGAATCATAACTTGGTTAAAAACTCGTTCATAAAAACCAGTTAAAAATCGATTTTTCTGAATAATCAAAAACCGGTTTTGGATCAATTTCTAACCGGTTTTAAAAACCGAATTGAACCGGTCAAATAAATCGGTTTTTTTAACCGGTCAAAAAAAATCGGTTTTCTTAACCGGTCCAAAAAATCGGTTTTTTAACCGGTCAAAAAAATCGGTTTTTTAACCGGTCGAAAAAAATCGGTTTTTTAACCGGTCGAAAAAACCGATTTTTCAACCGGTCAAATAAACCGGTTTTTTCGACCGGTTAAAAACCGTTTATGTACGGTTTTCAAAACCGGTTTTTTTTAAAACCGGTTAAAAATCCTATAACCGGTTAACCGCCTCATAATTTTATTTCTGACAGCCCTAGTCAGGAGGCCGATCTTATCAACGTGCGCCTATTGTATTACATTGCTTTGCAACCAAAGTTATGGATTATTATTGCTTTTAAGGAGTATTTTTTACTAAAGCAGTCACTGCTTAGCACTGGACAATGCATGAGTACATATTCTATCAAAATCAACAGAACAATATGTACTAAGTAATTTATTGAAAACAAACAGAGAAATGATATTAAAATAGTAATTTATTTAAAACAAACAGAACTGCTCACAAAGAATAATTCTTTAATTTTAAAATAACGATTGTTTTGGATTTGTATATTTGAAATAAGTATAGTCTAATTTTTATAATATGAAATATTAAATAATAATTTTGTTATGTTTAATTTTATAAAAAAAAATTAGTTTAATTGATCTATTACTATTTTTCTTTATATAGTATTTTGGCATCAAAATTGTTAAATATATTTTTCTTTTATTAGGCTATACATAAAATAAAAGAAATCTAAGCAATATTTCTATAAAAGTAGAGATATATTTAATAATTGACAGTTGGGGACGGAACAAGATATTTTTTTTTCTGCTGAGTAAAAAAGGGGGTGGCAAAACTGTTCTTTGCCCAATGAGGCAAAAAACCTCAGGCCGGCTCTGACAATCGATAATTCATATGAAACTGTCTTGCATTACCGCTATAATAAATTAAATTTTCTGTTGCCTGTTAGGAACGCAACATTTTATTGGTATTTTTTTATTAATTTATAATGTTATAAAAGCAGCAAACTAATGCAATATTTAAATCAACATTAAATCGAGCGATATGAATAGAAAAGCAATAGATAATTAATATGAAACTGTCTTGTATTACCGCGATTATACATTAATTTGCTATTGCAGTCGGCCTCGTGACGCCGCTCACTACCACACTCCTGCCTAGTATAGAGAACGCCGTGGGTGCAGGCATGGCTAGGAAATGTTTTAAATCCAAAAGAGGCTGGAAAATAAGTGCAAGAGGATTGGAGCTTGTGACGACCTCAGAAGAGACGATTCCATCATCACTTGTTGACATCATTTCGTGCTCGTGCACGAAACAATTCGGTGCAGCGTGCGGCTGTCGAAAGGCCGGTTTAAAATTTTCTGTAGTGTGCTAAGTTTGTTGCGGGAAGACATGTTTAAATGTAGCCGAGATTGCCAATGACTCCGACGACCTTTACGATAAACGACCAGACCTACCACATGTAGAAAGTGACATCGAAATGACTTCACATCCGAAAAGATCAAAAGCATAGACGGAATTGACAAATTTGGGGTTTGGATTAGGCTTTCAGGGGATACCATCATAAAAAACGCGCCTGATACTCGACCTCTTGGGTGGTGCGGAAAATTATATACATTTTTTTAATGTAGAGAACTAAGAGGGCTACAAAATGTCTCTTGTTATAATATATCGTAAAATGCGCCGTTTGTAAGATATTTTTTTAAAGTGTTAAAAAACATTTTTTTTTTTACTTTATTTGTGTATATTTTTTTAATTATTTTATTAAACAAAATATACTTAATACAAAAATTATAGGGAATTTCATAACAAATATTATTGTGTAATATATGGGGGCCGAGATTATCGCAAAAAACTAAAAAATTCAATTTTCAGGTGGTGTAAATTTGGTTTTAAGCTTATTATATAAGCCACTAGCTATTTATGAAAAAAAAATAGACAGTGCCTCAGCACTCAAGGTCGGGCCGTTTTTGACGACGCTTTGACTGGACTAAATTTATAGGATAAAAAATAAGTTCAACAATCAATGGGGTTCA